ATTAGTTTCACCTTTTAAGTTGCATTACTGAAATAAATGAACTTTTGCATGATATTCTAATTTTTTGAGTTTCACCTTTATTTTAGAGCATGCGCTCAGAAGCCCGATTGGTCTTATTATCCGGGAGCTCTTATTTTCAGGGGAAAAGGGTACCTATATGGTCACATAAATGCCAAGATAAGGAAGCAAATAACTCATTTTCATTCCAGGGAATGAACCTATCCATATATTGTGCTCAGCAATCATAGAATTCTGGAATTCAGTGCTCCCAGATTGTTCTAGTTTCTGCTTAAAAGTAGGGTTTACTGGCAAGACAATGCTGCTCTCTGTAGCTATCTTTCTTGGCCCATCTGGTCCTCAAAGGAAGTCTCAAGAAAAGATGATGTCCTTCCATGATTACCCAGATTGCAAGGACAGCGCCAGCTGCCAAGGATAATAGGTATTCTGTCACCCAACTTAAGGAGTGGTATCAATTCTCAATGTTCAGACATGTGGCCAGAAAAATATCAGATAAAAAAAAGGGGGCCAATATATATGCATATCTTTTTGGAAATATAGCCTGCATTTTCATGGCACTGAACAACTGTCAACATTTTTTCACTGAAAATATTCTGTTTCCCACATTATACTTTTCAAATTATTTCATGCAAATAAAACACTGCATCAATGTAATTAGAATAATATTCCTTATTATCCTAGGAATGATATTTCACAAGATTTTTATCATGATTAAGATTAAAGCTTGGCTGCAAAAAATATTCATTTTACAAAACAATCTCATAAAAAATACATTTCATCTTCTATATAATTCTTACCTTTAATCTCAGTTCTTGTGAATTGCTGAATCTTCCATCACAGAGGGAAAGCAAAGACTTTATTTCCTAGAAGAAAGTAAGATATGAGCAATCATTTTGGAAACAACATTTTAATAAACATCCTAAAATCATCTAACACTGTTATTGCATTATTACTGACATGCTGGGCAAGCCATGTTGAAAGGATGCTAGACCATTGCATCCCTAAACATCTCCTCTATGGTGAACTGTCTCAAGGAAAGCAATCGAACAGGGAACAAAGGAAATGCTACAAAGACACGTTGAAAGCCTCCTTCAAGTCCCTGGATATTGATACCACCTCCTGGGAAACCCTGGCACCAGATCGATCAACAGGGCGCACACTGATCCACCAAGGCTACCAGGCATCTGCGGATAGAAAACCTACCATAGCACAAGAGAAGTGAGCACTTCGCAAAGCCAGAGCTGCAAATGCTGCAACAATAGTGCCCACAGGTCTGCCCGTCATGTGGCAGAATATTTTGTGCTCATATAGACCTTACCAGCCACTTGCAGACACATTGTGGACAACCCACAACCTGTTAAGATGTCAAGGCCCTCTTCTAACACGATACGCGAGCATCATCATTATTACAGTATTCTTTATCCTTTAAAAAATACAACTTATGGCTATCTTCTTTAAGAATAACTTCAGGAGAGCCAGTTTGGTGTAACAATGAAGGCGCCACACTAGAAATTAGGAGATTGTGAGTTCTAGTCCCACCTTAGGCACAAAACCAACTGAGTGCCTTTGGGCCAATCACTTTCTCAATAGCCTAGGAAGGTGGAAATGGGAAGCCACTTCTGAAATCTTGCCAAGAAAATTGCAGGAATTTATCCAGGACTGTCACCAAGAATCAAAAACTGATTCAAAGACACCAAATAATAATAATCATCAGTGGTGAATAATCCAAAAACTGGAAACCCCAGAATGCTAGTTGCTGCAATTGCTTTCTCCTTCCACCCCTTGAGAGTAGGTACAGCCAAATATTACTTCGCTTGAAGGACGGGAATAAAGAAGGACCCTTAAAAGATTTACATTTTACCCCAGGTAAGTATAAACACACAGAAGCAAAACAGCCAACTGTTTTCCCACCTCTGCCTCGGCAGGAAAAAGAGAAGGCACGGCTGTATTTTAGGTTATTGAACCTGACATTAAGCCAAATGGGGAAAGGCTATTCAATTGGAAAAGAAGCATTTGAGTAAGTGAGAATGAAGTGCAGCAAGTGGAGTAGAATGTTCTCCATACAGTGTGGAGGGGAAAGTTGATGCAATACAAGAAAATTTGGGCAAGTTGCTTCCTCAACAGGTAGCATTTACACTTCCTCATCCATTCTCACCTCTGAATATGGCAATTGGCCCAACCTAAGCAGTCCTATCCAATTCTCAGAGATTGCCTAGACAAGTACCAGCAGTTTTCTTGGCAAGGTTTTTCATGGGTGTTTACTATTATTGCCCCTTTCTCAGAGCTGGGAGAATGACAGGCCCAAGGGTCATTGATTCTGTACTTAAAGCAGGAGTAGAACTCATGGTCTCCAGGCTGATCTTTTTTAACAATGACATCAAACTGGTTCTCAAGTTTACATGACTAGAAAAGTGAATCAGATGGGTGATTCTTCTACTCATGTTGATGTTCATATTGAATCTTCAATATAAATCTGCACAAAGAAACTGTACAGAGTATGTCCAAGATTTGAGCTTCCTGAAATTCTTTCCAACCCTTTTTTTCTCTCGCGTTCCAAAGTGTACGCAATCAACTTCCGTATTATATGTTATAGCCACAGGCATCCCGCCTAGTAAATTCTGAAAGACCAGGGTAGGGACAGATCATCACGATTGTTAATTGTCGACCACTGGAGAGCACACAATAATAATATTAATAAAAACCACACTTAATACTCTGAAGCTATGCTCAAATCCCATGGGCTACTATGCAAACTATAACTTGAACAAACAGAAATTCTCATAACGATCTCTCTTCCACCCCACGCCTTGGATGTCGTTCTTCTTTGAAGTGAATGTTGTTGTTTTTTTGCAGCTTGGGGAAATGCTCCAAGGCTCTTACCGGTAGTAGGAAGCCTGGAGTGTCAGCATAAGACTAGCAAAGGCCTACATGACCCCATTTTATTCGTCTGCAAACAAAAAACAAAAAAACCCTAAGTTGCGGGACTTTCTAATTCCCATTCTGCAGCGCCGGAATAAGCAAAAGAATTCATACGGCGCCGAACCCCCAAGGCAGGGTTGCGATAAAATCCGGAGGCGCGTGGAGGCCGCGCGCGCGCACGCTCAGTCCCCGGGAAATTCCAAGCGGCAGAAAGGGCTCGCGCGCGCTCCGCACCTCGGACTCACCGGCAACCGGAATTCTACGTTCTGCTGCGCTAGGAGCAGCAAGTACTGCCCATAGCCCGTTTTCGCCAGCGCCATAGTCCCGGCTCGCGCTCTTAGAGGCGGCCGTACGCGCGCGCGTGGAGCAAGAGGGGCGGGGTCGAGGCTGGGGAAAAGAAAAGGAGGAAACATTGTCGAAGCGCCCCGGATTTGGGAAGAGAAGCGCAGAATTTTTACCGAATGGTAAAAAGTTTTACCGAATGGTGGGGAAGGCGCTAGCTAGACTTACACTAATTTTGTTGTCACTTTGAATGTACACTAATCGGCATACATTAAAATGAAATCTCGTTGCATACAGCGAATTTGCTACTATCTCAGCCAAGGCAATGACGGTGAGAATAACTGCTACTGCATCATTACGGACCCTGCTGCCATAGGGACCTTATAGAGTAGAGTAGAATTGAATTGAATTCTTTATAGGCCAAGTGAGATTGGACACACAAGGAATTCGTCTTAGGGTACAAATAAGCAATCAGGAAACAATCAATATCAATATAAATCGTAAGGATAAAAGCAACAAAGTTGCAGTCATAAGTGGGAGGGGATGGGTGATAGGAACGATAAGAAGACTAATAGTAATTATATTGCCGTGCAAACTTTGTTTGGCTTAATAAAAATTGTTATTTTTTTCAGTAGGTTCTGTAGGACGAGTAAAGAAATAAGTACCGGTAGGGAAATTTTAGCCAGCGAGGTTCTTCGCGGGTTTGATCTGCAATGTTTATTGTTAACCGTGAGAGCTGCAGCTTGCTGAGAACTCGCTTCTTGTCCAGCTCGGTGAAATTCGTACCTCGGCATGGGTGAATCGGTTCCCTGGTAAACGAGATCCGCTTATAAATTCGGGGCCCATAGATGGGCTGGAGGTTAGCATCAGAACAGAAAGACCGAATTTTAAAAAAAAAACATTTTATTGACTTCATATAGCATAATAAGACAATGAAAATGTTGGACATTCGCTCCACCTTAAGGAGGCGTTCGGCAGCGCGATGGGAGCGCCGCCCTATAGCAAGGAATAATGGGATGGCTCTTCTCTGATTGGTCGTTTTCAGTTCAAGCAGGATGTTTGCAGCTTGAAACCAAATATTGCAGTGCTCCAAAGGCAAGAATTCACTCCTTTCTCGCAGAGAAATTCCGCAGCGGGATAAGTAAGTATAAAGAAGCTCTATCTATCAATCTATCTATCATCTATCTATCATCTACCTTCCTGCATACCTTTCAGAAAATTGAAGCAGTCTTGCTATCATTTATCTCGAACATAATGTCACTTCCATAGAACTGATTTTACATGTCTAGGGAGATTCTCAGTCATCCAGGTCATGGTTATCGCATAGGTGCTTTTTCAAAAGGCAAGTGGACTTTCTGGTTTTTATTTGAAGACATTTTGCTTCTCATCCAAAAAGTTTCTTCAAAGCTATGGAAGCTTCTAGATGAGAAGTGAAACGTCTTCAAAGAAAAACCAGAAAGTCCACTTGCCTCTTGAAAAACCATCTGTGGAATAACTGATTTTACAGTTTAGGGTTTAGCTGATTTATACTTATTTGGGTTAAAGCGTTGCCTGAAATTATGAACATTTTGTTTATTTTGTGGATGTTTTTCTTGTATTTGGTTTTTTTAATTGTTTTATAATTTTAGAATTGTAAGTCACTTGGTTGAGTTGGGTGGCTATAAAAATTGAATAAATAAATAAATAAATTAGAAAGGCTACAGATGGAATCACAAGGTTTGTGAAGCTAGATGCTGTTTTAAATCTTTAAAAAGTATTATGGCTCATCAGTCACCACAATGTGTCCAACAGCATGTAGCCAGCCTTAGTCAATCAGAAACCTAAAAAGTCGTGGATTTGGATAGGAAACACACATATATACCCAAAAAAACTTAGTTTGGGAGACAGTTGCAACCCATTTCTGTGCTGTAGACAAAAAAACATTAGGTGGTCATAAAGTCATTAAGATGCTGGGTGAAGTGTGGAAAGTGACATGTTCAAGTCTTAACCTCAGCCACTAGATGCCTTTCCCCGCTCCCACGCTCTCAGAAGGATGCTGTCTTGAACCTCTAGACAAAAGGGAAGAAAATATAATAAATAGTTACTCCATTCCAGATTATAGTACAAACCTTTGGGAGTTGAGAATTTGTTTTGATTCTCAAAGGAAATCAAGCAGTATTTAACTTTTTTTATTTATAAATCATTCAATCTGCCTACCATAAAAGAAGTTGGCTAATTATCTTTTTCACGTTATATGAAAGAAATTGGACTGATAAATCATTGTATACAATCTGGCAGAAATTATGTTCTTTGTGAACAAAAATTGTGATTTCTTAGATTTAACATTAGTAAAATGTGTTAGGGCTTCTGAAAGAGTAATTTTATTTTTACAGGATATCCTGCAAAATAGTTTTGGCAGTATCTATTGTAATTAGTTTTCTTTCCTTCACCTTTTCAAATCCAGACCCCTCCTCTTCTTTATATGCCATTAAAGCTGTTTACAGCATGGAAGAAAGCAAAACACAAAATATCGGAGCAGCAACAAGTTGTAATGGCATTGTTGGACAACTTGCAAGAAACTGGCAGAGCTGGTCCAAGGATCGTGTGGCTTATCAGCAACGAAACCCATTTAGCAATGGCAACCAAATAACCTTACGCACTGAGAAAGGGGATCCCACTTATGGGAGACCACCTGAAGGCTCCAAAACTGAGCAGAGAGGAAAAGATGCACATGCACATATGGGCAAAGAAGTGGAAGAACTATGCTTAATTATACATAACACTGGACAGAGGGAACAGGATGGGCAAGTGAGAATAACATTTAAACAGCTCTTTGATAGGTATGTGACTATATCCAATAAACTAGTAGGTGTCCTCTTAAGAGCAAGGAAGCATGGCCTGGTTGACTTTGAAGGTGAAATGCTTTGGCAAGGAAAAGATGATAGTGTAGTTATTACTTTGTTTGAACAAGATAAAGATTATCCAGCTATTTCATGATTAATTCAGAAATCTCTTAAAGCGCTTGAAACATCAAAATGACTGCCTGGCTTAGAACATAGGAAAGCAATTGTTATAAAATGAAAGTATGTTTTAAAATACTTGGTCATTACGCAACAAGAAATATATACTTATTAAAGGAATTTAGTCAACATATATGGATATGGTTGAAAACAACTCAGTACATTTCATGAGATCTGTTGTACAAATTGCAAATGGTAATAAAATTAGAAGTGACTATCACACAGATATGCGTAAGAGGGTGATTAAGATTTGTTTAAAAATAGTAAAGCTTTCCTCTACATTACAAATACCACATAGAGTGAGCCAAGGTGGCGCAGTGGTTAAATGCAGCACTACAGGCTACTGCTAGATCAGCAGGTCAGCGGTTCAAATCTCACCG